GGGGTGGGGGGTGGGGGGGGGCACGAGTAGCGTTGACGTCTGTACCCCACCTTGCTTGCGTAACCAAGCTGCAACTTGAATGAATAATCTTTTTGAGAAATTTCTTATTGAGGAAGGTCAATCACAGCGACGCCACCGTGCGATCTTTCTTATTGACCGACTGTTCATCGTGATCCCGTGCGAGATATTTGCGAGAGACGGGTCCATAGGTCTTTGAACAGAATTAGAGATGAACAGGAGAAGCAGCCAAACCATTTGCCAGACAAAGAAGAGTGACGATGCCGTGCGACTCTGATTTTCAAAATCCATCACTGTCATTCTAGTCCATTTCCGAAAAGCTCTTAAACGTTTTCTAATTTCGTGGAAAAGTTCGACAAGGAAATCTTAAAACAGATGCTCCAATGCGTCGTTCGTGCCAAAAGGTGTCGGGCGATTTTTTCACTTCCGAGAATGATCATTCAGACGCGACATTCTCGACCTCGTCTCGAATGGACAAGAGAAGACTGACTTTCGAGAAGGTGACGATTCCACGCGCACCCATCTCCGCTCTAGCGGAAGTACCTGGTCGTACCTCTATGTACCTCGTGATTCTGGTATATAGGCTCTTTTTTTACGAGGTGGAGATGGGGGGAGGGGCTGCAGCTCGCCCGGTGTACTCGGCACGTCGCACGTCGCACGCAGATGTACCAGAGGAGCATGATTCATCTGTCTCTGCAAACGACCAACCAAGCATCTTATCGGCTTCAGTCCTACGCGTCACTTCTATTGCAAAAATAAACATTCTTCACTGCACCTACTTGCATATTGCTTCTATCTAGGCACCACTTGAAATTATAAAATGTTCCTGTAGGCGCATTCTCTGACTCTCCCACCCTCCACTTGCCCCTCTCCCTCCACGTTCTTCACATTCAGCCATTTTTATCTCATCCCTTCGAAAAGGAAGCAGCAGCCTCTTTCGTTATATATAAACGGAAGACTACCGGAATGTCCTCTGCACTTAGCGTATCGCTTCCGGCTGTGGCCACGCAGTTAAATTTGGATCCCATCGATGTGCTCTAGGCTGAAGCATTACGCCAGAGACTAGTCGAGAACTCCCATGAGCGCCTCAAAATAAGTACATCGCCCAACCAGCACAGAGAGTCCTTTTTCCCTAATCCATTCAATGAAAACCTGAGCTATGGTCGCCCCGCCTGACTCTATAACCAGAGAGTACTCGTGATACACAGGAGTATTCTAGTGGATGCGAGAGACGCGGCACAAAGCGATACTGGAGAACGTACCAGGAACAATTACTTATCCTCTTACGGTAACCGATAGCACGCCATCTTGAAACCGTGCGAGACCCTCGACGAAGAGACCAAGAAACGAAGACGGCATCGTCTTCCTCTTCTCTCTCCTCTGCAGGCTCTGCGTCAGGGTATGAGCTCCCTTGGAAGAACTCGCGCCAAGGATGTAACGTTTCCAAGTTCCTTGGTGGATCCCCCAAAGTCGATTAAACGTCGAAGCTCAAGGAAGAGCAAGAGGGAAGAGGCCCACTGCAGTGGACACGGCGTAGCGTTAAGACGTAGCGTTGGGAAGAAGGCAGACCGTGGCAAAGTAAAACTAGAGGAAGCAATAGAGAAAATTGGAAAGTTCGAGCGTGTAAAAGCTGTGTAGGACGAGCCAAAGGTCCTAAAATAAGCCATATATTTTCATTATTTTGGCATCCACGGCCGCTATGTATCTCATATCCAAGTACATTCCTATCAGCACACTCGTCTATTATGCCTGGCTGCCTTAGCTGGCTTACCTGCCTGAGAGAATTAGGTACCTCCCGGAACGTGAAAAACGGGTGCGGAGCTTATACACGAGCTCAAGTTCCCGCTAACCCCGACCAGCCCCCGCATGATGCAAAGCTTCACGCGACACGAACGATGGCTTTCGGGAAATGAATTCATCGTACAAATTTCGGAATTTTTTTCTTTTGTCTCAATGCGCTAGAACGAAAATGAGAGCACATCAATTCCGAGAATAGAGATAAACTTCCATTCGGGGAGCATCGACAAAATGGAGCCTAAGGATAGTGTCTCGTACGTGGCGCATTACTTCCTCGCGAAGGTCACCACTGATTCATTATGTCAGCATGTGGGAGAAAAGTTGGTGACGGCTGCGTACAGAGTTCTCCTTTTATTATATACATGCGCATACATATAGACATAAGGTATACAGAGTTGAGCGGGTTCAACTAGCAGGGGATATTCTACATATCTACACGACTTCTTGCCTCCTCGACTAATTCTAAGTTCCAAGATTGCGTCGACTCTCGTACGCGCGTTTCTTCATCATAACGTGAAGAAGAAAGAGAAAAAGAAGCGAAACACGAAAAACCTTAAACAGGGTATGACATCGCGAGTCTCGTCATAGAGAAAAAAACAAAGACCGCTCGCTCGAATATAACAATAATATACTTTACGGCCCGCAGTACATAGACAAAGAATAAGGAAACCACCGTGTGGATGATTACGAGAGAAATCTCTCGTGAGGATTTTCTACGTTCAAGTGCGCCAAAGTATCCTAACCTCGACAAGAGTTTCGCCGTCGATGTCTGTTTTGAGAAACAAAAACCAGTCAAATCTGTATCAAGGCACGTGTCACGGCATAAAATGCTTTTTACAAAGAGTACATGTACATGGATTTGCACTACATATATTTTATTTGTCTATTTTATCGAAAACTACGTGCGATTTGCTTGGGATTGCGTTTGCTGCGAACTATAAAAAAAAACAATGAAGTCATGGACCTGGAGAAAACTTAGAAATAAATAGAGCGGCTACACCTCAATGAGACCCCTCATTATGGAAATTAAGAAAATTACATTTTTCCAAAAATGCGGGGCGTTGTGAAGTTGACCCCTCATTTCTGAATATCGCCATTTTTTTTTGCATTTAATCGACCGAACGATTTCTGAAAATTGTCAGGAACTCTATAACTCTTCCGGGGGCAAGCAGAACTCTAATTTTTTTTTAATTTGCACTATGAGGGGGCTGAAAAGGTCGATGGGGAGTGCCAGAAAAGTCGAGGGAATAGCCAGCGGATGAAAGAACGTATAGCTGGAGAACCTGAAAGGGCTAGAAACAACGGAGATGCCAATGATGTGGAAGAAGGTACTAAAAGAGAGATGGCGAAGAGCAGAGATATGTATAGAAGAGCCGTTCAGGATGCTAATTTATATTGGCTTTACTACTGATTAGTTTCAGCCTGCGACGATGCAATGCGAAAAAAGGCAGATGGAACACACGGCCGTACGGTTCGACACTTTTTGTCCTGTACCTAACCATAGAAAACGACAATGGCTAAGCTGATACAAGGCTTTGAGAATTTTAAGAGTTCACGTCCCACAATCACTAACATCAGTTTATATTGACAGTTCCCGTGCACTCAAATATCGACCCTGTTTTTCCGTCGCAGCTGGTGCAGCTGCACGATTCGACCACCACCCCCGCCCCCCCTGAATTTCCTTCACACGGTCTTCCAAAGAACGTCAGAACGAAATGGGACTAATCGATAGCAGCAATGTAGACGGTGAGTTCCTAAATCTTTGGCCATGCCACCTGGTAATAACGAAGGTGTCCGTATATAGCAATGTCGTCAAGTCACAAAATGACAGAAGGACGCAGGTAAAGGGAATCTAGATATTCACTCTGATTCACTGATTTGTCTCGGAACAAATGACATGTATCAAATCAATGGATGAACAAAGGGATATATATAGGACGCTAGACGCATCGTGATTTTCGTAGAGGACAGGGAAGTAGGGACAACAGCATCGCATCCGTCTTATGTGCGGTGATGCACTGTTAAGTTTGGCGGACAGTTTACGCAATGCTTATTCCAGGAAGGTCTGAGAACAACGAGTTTTCCGAATGAACTTTCCTCGAGGTGGACGACATTCCGATTGAAGGTCAAGGACGACCCGCGGAACGGAATTAAGTTTCGTCTCGAAGTGCCCGATGCAACCGTGCACACTCAGCTGCTTGCAAGAGTAGCTCTGTGCTATATATTATAAAATAGACACGCATGCACGTGGCAAGGACCTTTCCGGAACAGCGGGAGCAGGGGGAGCCATCCCGCCGCAGGAAGAACTGGGAGAAGGATGCTCTCGTGAACGAATCAGACGGCAATACGGCAATATGGGAAGGAATACGGCAGAGAGAGAACGGAGGAAGGAGAGTCTAAATGGAGAGACGCCGGATAGGTTGTTGTTGCGTTGCACAAGAGCCGCGCAAGGACAGGATAGAAAATGTGGCAGGCAGCAAGCCTTGTTGCTGCTGCTGCTGCTGGTTATAAATTTATTCCTCGAGAGCCCCGCAGGATGGTCGGCATTATAATGTCATCGTCTAAGTGAAAAATGATGAAGATTGCTCCGCACGGTTTAAACCGGGTCCACCCCAACTTCTAAGCTATGTAAAGCTATACTGTTGCCGTATACCTACTGTGTACTGGTGGTACACACTGCCAGGAAACTCGACCAAGGAAAGATGGAGGACCCAGGAGATCG